AAACAGTTATTTGTTATTATCTCCCTGGATATTTATGATATTATAGCCTATTCGTTAAACCAATTTTGTCTGTGTTTATGTATGTGTTCTGCTCTCAGGTCATCAATTTTCCTTATTGTTAAAGAATCCTGATCAACCTGAAAATGCCAAATCTCTTAAAGTGGCGATAGTGGGTGCGCCTAATGCAGGGAAATCAACATTGACCAATCAACTGCTGGGTCGAAAGGTGATATTATACTAATGTTTGGAATAAAAATTAAGGTGAAATGTGTTTTTTCTCACCCAGAAATGTTATTTCTGCTATTTACTCAGCCTGTAAATAACAGGCTGTGTATAAAGTAACAGTGCAACATGTTTGAATGTACACATGTAAAAATGAGATTTGCATAGTCATGCATAATTAGGAGTAATGACAGAATTACATTTTTTGTGTGACCGATCCCTGTAAGAACTTGTGTCTGTAACCTTAAATGTTAATTCACAATTTTTATATAGTTGTTTGCTGTTTCTGAGAAAGTGCACACAACAAGATCACGTGCTGTTGGTGTCCTGACAGAGGATGACACACAAATCGTAAGTACCTCTTCTACCCCCATGTCTAGTCTGTTTAGGGAATGTTCCATGTTTGCATGGCATTTTTTCTCCTATTTATTTTTTCTATCAGATACTGTTGGATACCCCTGGTCTCACCACACCAATAAAGGCTAAAAGGTGACTATGTAATACAGCAGTTTCTTACAACATTAGGTGGTAACTGTAAGTTAACCATTTGTTGGTTGATTTCCCAGAAAAGTGTAGATACTGTGCTCTGCAATCTTGCGCTGATTGTTTGAACATCTCAACCAACCAGAAACAACAACATTTGTTTAACTAATGCCATGATTGTGGTAAAAATTCTCATACTCATAAACTAAACTTGATTTTGTTATATTTGTTTAACAGACATCACCTGGAGGAATCGCTGCTGGTGGATCCTTTTGAGTCAATAAAGGAAGCTGATCTAGGTAAATAAAAAAATCTTTGTTTTAGTTGTTCTTCTCTTATTTATTTCTTAATCTGTTCAAAAACAAAGACACAGCCAGCATCCAATAGAATCGCCATTGGCGTCGTGTGTGTTTATAATTAGAACTAACCATGAAAATGTACAAAAGGTCTATATCAACTTAGTTAGGAGAGCTCTTGGACAAACGAGAGCCTTGGAGTCAAAGAGGCTGAGAACCACTGTATTATGACTCTGTATTTTGTGCTGAATCTTCAATTTTTTTTCCATTTCTGCTATATATTTGCAGTGATGGTGCTAGTCGATATGTC